GTTTCTTTGCTATTCATAAAGTTTTCCCTGGCCAATTCTTTGAGAAGTGGATGGCCTCTTCCTTCTTCCTAGTCTGTCTCAGTCTGTAAGCTGGGCTGATACCTGTGCACCATGTGCATCCCGCTGGGTTTGAAACACCAGTGGCTCAGCCTCAACACATCAACATGGCACCACGGTAGGACAAACTGACAGACAAGTTTGTCTCCCTGTTGGAAACCTCTTGTACCACCCTTACCTGGGTCCCTGCAGCTGACTCCTCCTCTGTCCCAGTTCCTGGGGCTTTTAATACCTTTCTCCCACTCTCCCGCCCTGCTGCTTTGGGCGTGCCTGAGTTCCCTCTCCTCACCTGGATCCCTGTGGCTGACTGCTCCACTGTCTAGGTTCTGGGCTTTTAATCCCCTTTCTCCCACTCTCCCATCCTGCTGCTTTGGGCATGCCATTAAGTCATAGTAGATTTCAAATTCTACCATCAAAAGGTGTAGTATATTGAATCTGAGCTTTGTTGTGTGATTTGCTTTGGCCAAAGGAACGTTAGCAAATATGACACAACCAAAGTCTTGGAAAATGTTTGTATGTTAAGGCTTGTCATTACTCTTGCTGCTTTTGGAAGCCAATCACCATGTAAAGAAGTTCAGATTAGCCTACTAAATGTTGGAGATATGTGGTTCAGTTTCCCCCATCATTCGCCATATGCCAGACATAGAGTGAGGATATCTAGGACCTATTAGCCTCTAGTTAATCTGTCTGCTGAACCAAGGGAGACCAGTGGAGAACAACCAAGCTGAGCCCAGCTTAAATAGTCAAGCAAAACCCATCTGCTAGTAAACACTTTTTGTTTTAAGCCACTAGGTTTGGGGTGGGTTTTTTATACACAGAAAGCTAACTGATACAAACCCCTTTCTACATATATAGCTGAAAGATACGCAATATGTACATTCCTATAACTCAAAATTTACCTAAAATTAGTAGTTTACATTGCATTTGTTATCTTATTAATTATAATGAAAGGTTTTAGGATAAACACACCTGATGAATTTTCAAAGAGCAAAGTTTAATCTACTCGCTTAAAAGGTAAAATGAAGAAGCTAGGTTTTCAACTAATACAAAAATTCTATGCCTTTTTGTTCAAAGGGAGTTTGTGTTTCCAAGAGTTTTACATGGAAGTTTAAGATCTAAGAATTCGTTAGTAACTTCAAATTAGAATTTAACAAGAAAGAATCACCCGCGGTTGTTGTTATTAGGTGCCGTTGAGTCATCTCTCACTCATAGCGACCTTATGTACAACAGAACAAAACACTGCCCAGTCCTGTGCCAGCCTCACGATCCCTGCTATATCTGAGCCAAGAGTCATATAGTCAAAATTAAACTGTATTTAATAGAATATTTTAAAAGCTAATCTTTAAAAATAGCTTTCATTATTTAGTAAAGCACTTAATAGGCTAATCATATCTAAAGTTTCTGATTATTTGATATATGTTATTAAATAGATTTTAGTGTTCTTTTAACCTACATGTTTCATGTATTTCTTTGTTTAAAAAAGACACATGCTGATGTACATATGACCGAGTCAAAATTATCACAATATTGATGTCAGTTGAATAACTCTCCACTTGCACCCTGCCATTAATATGATACCCAAGTCCGACAAAACCAACATTTTCTCTGCTTCTCCAACTTTTTTCATAGCAAAGTGTTTCCTTTCTATAGATTTATTACTCTGTTTGATTTCAGGCAGTGTCTACATACAGCAAAAAAGAAAGAAAGAAAGAAAGAACCACATACACTTATAAAAAAGTTCTTAGTTTGTTAAATGAGACCTGTTTGCTGTGAAACACCTTACACCTTACACTGCAAAAAGGCAGCCACATTCATGACTTTTCCCTATTTCTGCCAGTTCCTTCAACATCAGAGAGTTGTTCTGTTTTTGTTTTTTAAAAGCAATTCTGCAGAGATTATTCATCTTTCCTTCCTAAATGTTTACTTAAACTTGTTAGTTAAAGAGTGGCTATATTTTCCAAAGAGGAAAATCAAAAATTGCTCACAGTGGCTTACAAAGTCACTGGAGACACACTGAAAATACAGGTCTTTGATATCTCCTACTGACACCTATCCAACACACACATACACACACACAGAGCTAAATTTGTTATTTTGTTCCTAACAATGATTTAAAGTGGAGACTAAGAACAAACTTCTGTTTACTTTTAGCTTTTATGCATTTGGGATTTGATGTGACCAAAAGCTATCTTTCAGAGGTATAAATGAAGTAACAGCTGCACTAAAGGCAAATAAAGTAATTCTAGTAACATCTGAATTGCTCTATAATGCTCTTCATTGTTGTCAAACTCAGTGTTCTCAGAAGTCTGTAAAGGTGGGCCAGCATTCTAAGTTCTATGTATTTGGTCCTTGAGAGAGCAAGGTAAAAGAGAGGGAAGGAAGATATTTTCAGGGGTAGACAAGGTATAGTAGAGTGGTTGGGATCACAGTTTCCTGTTCTCAAATTCTTCAAGAGATTTTTGAGCTACAAGACCCCTGTGAGTTTTGTGTTAGAGTAATCAATTCTGAGAACCTATTTCACATATGAGAGCCACATGTGCAGTACTTTTACAAAACTTCCTCTATAACCTTGTTTTCTTCAACAGGTGTGTTGTCAAGTAAAAAATGTTGCAGTGAGAATCATCTTATGATTATTTTTACATACTAAACTTGGCTTAACCTCTTGTCTCTCATTGCATCTTTGCTTGTAAAAGAATGTCACAGATGACCTTTCTTAGGGAGCTCTGGTAGCATAGTGCCTAAGGCACTTGACTGCTAACCAGAAGGCTAAGGGTTCAAACCCACCAGCCATTCCTTGGAAGGAAGTTTGGGCATTATACTTCTGTAGTGATACCACCTCGGAAATCCAAGGAGGAGTTGCTATGAGTCAGGTCCTACTTGACAGCACATAACAACAGCAACCTCAGAAAATTTAATTTTTACCAATGACCATTAACATAGAATTGTTGTTGTTTTGTGCCCTTGAGTCGGAGCTGACTCATAGCGACCCCTCCCTGGGTTTCTGAGGCAGTATCACTACGAAAGTAGATTGCCCCATCTTCTTTCCGAGGAGTTGCTGGTGGGTTTGAACCGCCAGCCTTCTGGTTAGCAGTCCAGTGCCTTAGGCACTATGCTAACAGAGCTCCCTAACAGAGAATAGAATTTACTATCCACCAAAGGACCATCTAATGATTTTCTGAGTTGGGCCACCACCCACTAAGTGAACATGTTTGCTTTGTGGCTCCTGCTTACGATAGTTCAGAAGCAGAAGGGCCTTGGGGTGGGCCCTCTCTCCTAACTGCTGGACACTGAGGTTAAAATTTTCACAGGACACATCCTTGCAGGGGTGCCAGCACTCACCTATGGGTGTGGTCCAGGTGGCAGGGGCACTGCTTGTCACACTTGATTCCATAGAGCCCCTCCGCACACAGGCGAGCCTCACAGTATTCACCAGCAAAGCCTGCTTCGCAGAGGCACGCACCACTCACGTGGTAACATTTCCCTCCGTTGACACAGCGACAGGTCTCAGCACAGTGAACTCCATAAGTCCCAACAGGGCACTCATCCTGGCACCTATCAATCAGGAGGCAAGAGCAAGGGGTAGATTAGTTAGTGCCATGTGAGAATAACGAGTTCATTCAGAATGGATTTGCCATGTATAAATTGAAACTGCTTTTTGGACTTGACGATCAGATAGTGACTGGCCTGTTACAGGTATGAAAAGCATTAAGATTAATTACTAAAAACATTATACCGAATTAAGTAAGTCAGTCAAATACTGTTTGATCCCACTTACGAGAAGTATCTAGAATAATCAGTGAATAGAGACCAAAGTTTATTAGTGGGTACCAGGGGTAGGAGGGAGGGGAAAGAAGGACTCGGTGCTTAGGGAACACTGAGCTTCTGTTAAAGGTTATGTTATAATCTAGGAATGGATGAGGGTGATGGGTAAACATAATGAACATAATTAATGTCACTGAACTGTACACATGAAGACGGTTGAAATGACAAATGTTTTGTTACATATATATTTATAACAATAAAAAAATAGTAAAAATGAAAAAAAAAGATTAATGACTCCAGCTACATTTACATAGTCTTAATAGCAGTATGACTTGTTGAAAGAAAACATAAAAATAGAACCAAAACAAAATTATAAGCTTGTGACACAAAGCATCTTTTATACCTAATGCATATCAAAGTTATATATATATATATACATATATATAGCATTCGAATAAATATGAGGGAAAGGAGTTAAGAAAATTCCCAAATATTAGTAGCAGTCCACAATTAGGAAATTAGAAAATATGCTCTTTCCAATCCAAAGAGAAAAATTTGTGGCAAATGTGAAATTAAATTTTAATTCCCTTGGCTTTTCTGTTGATATTTTTAATCTCAGCCACGTTTCTGTTCCTTTCAATGCTGAATGATAATCACTGCTCCCCATTTAGAAGTCATGGAACTAATAAGCAAAGTGCTCTTTAGATTTGGGGAATTCTGAGCTACTGAAATCAGGTATCCGTGATTCCAACCTGGGAAGGCCCTGTCAGTAGGTCCTAGAGGGGTTTAGAGTTTTCTAACAAAATTGTTGGCAAGTCGGGTATTGTCCTCTACTGGGAAGAAGGATGACCAAATGGCAATGAAAAAACATCAGACTCCCCCAAAACCACTTTATTTTTCTTTCAAAAAAATAATATGACAACCTGGGCCCAGTGGAAACAGTAGAAGGACATGCTCTGGCTAAGGTGAATGAGGTAGGAAGCTGAGTTGCTGAGGGGATTGTGATGGAGAAGAGAAAATAATATCCCTCCATGGAAAACACAAATAGGTGTTGGGCCATCCAGGTTTCTTTTTGGCTAGGTGAGGTGACCAGGGCTATCTGCAACAGGAGAGCTTTTGGACAAGGGAGATGGTGACAGGTCTCATCTAGTCAAGCACTGGCTGCAAATAGCGTACTCTGTGAGATCTAGCATCCACTTCCCATGCAGCTGCAGACAGAGTCAAAAATGTAGGTCAGCCCTGCAGTCTTCAGATCTGTGTAAAGCAAACAGCAAACTGCATGATAAAGAATCCAAGCAAAGTTAAACAACAAAGGGGCAGGAAAGCAAACATTTTCCACAAGGCTATGCATAATTTTAATGATAGAGTGAGATGACTAACAATACCATGGGTGGGTGAGAGTCTATTTAAGTGTAGAGGACAAATCTTTAGAATCCTTTGATAATTTATGGTTAACTCTGACTGTACCAGTTGCCTTTAGGTCAATTTTGACTCATGGCAACCCCAGTGGTGTCATAGTACATGGCACCCCCAATGGCATCATAGTGGAAGTATGCTCCATAGACATTTTTGTACAAAGATTATCAGGCTATTCTTCTGAGGGGCCTTTGCGTGGGTTTGAACCTTCAATCTATCAGTAGCAGCTAGAGTATGTCAACCATTAGCACCATCCAGGGACTCCACTCTGAATCTAACTAAAAACCAAACCCAAACCCACTGCTATCAAGTCAATTCTGATTCAAAATAGGCATATAGGAGACAGAGTCTGACTGTTCCATATAGTTTCCAAAGCTGTAAATCCTTATGGAAGTAAACTGCCTCATCTTTCTTTTGTGGAGTGGCTAATGGATTCTAGCTATGACATTTTAGTTAGCAGCCAAATGCTTTAACCACTTTGCCACCGGAGTGCCCTACTCTGACTTTAGCATATACTTACTGTGATAGAGACAAGGAAAAGGGACTCATGCAAGTTTGGCTTCACAGATTTTTGACATCTTAAGGTCTGTTTGGGAGCTCTGGTAGTGTAGTGCCTAAGGCATTTGACTGCTAACCAGAAGGCTGGCAGTTCAA